TATATATATATAAAAGAGCTTTTAAAGTGTGGAGTTGACTTATGTGGGTCTCCCAAACCTCTTGTGTATGTCACCAGAGGAAGGCTCTTGCCCTTTCTGTCAATCTGCATGACAGCTTATCTCGGTGCTTGCCGCCCTTGATGAAGAGCACCAGCTGTGCTGTGGCGGGTGGGATAGGTGCGGAACACCCCTGTTCCTGAATCGGCGGGTGGCCCCCGGCCGGGGCTGCTGAGAACATGCACCACCCTCTTCTCACCGAGGTCAAGGTAACGATTTCCTATAGAATCCCGTACGTTTCATGCTGAGTTCTTACGCAGCGTTCTGCAGTCTGAATAAACGTGCTTGAAGATGCTGCCCTGCGAATTCCCTCGGTCTCGAGACTTTGCTCTGCGCGCAGTGTCAGCTGGTGCAGGGAAAGCCAAAGAAGGGGCTACCAGCCCACTGCAAATGGGAGACCAACCCTGATAAAGAGCAATGTGGGCCAAGAAAGTCCATGCCAGTGTGGTTTCCTTATGCCAATCCATCCATTAGCATTTATACTTGGAAGTACTTCAGCCAGTGCTATCTTCTTTGCTCAGATGGGCAGCGATACCGAGGAAGATGCACTTTGGGCACTACTTGCTTTATTCTTTTGACCCTCAGTTCTAAATTGCAGTTATAGTGCACGTGATGCTTTTAAATGTGTTCCTTATTTATTTATACTGGTGGATTTAAATTCAGATCGTTTAGGCTGGCTTAAAGTGGCCCTACACCTCATGGCTAGTCGCCTGAAATGTTTTCTGCGTTTCACTGGCTGGCACTGCAGTATCTATAGGGTAACGTATAGCGATGTGGAACACCTTGCCAATTGCTTCAGCAGAAGAGTCGGCAAAGCACGTTTGTTGTAGAAGTGTATAGACGTTCTAAAAGTGTGAAAGCTGTTCTGCTTCCTGCGTTTGAAGTAATGCCTTTAGACAGAATGAAAAAAAAAAGAGTAATAGAGCATTAGGGCATTTACTCACAAGAGATCCTGGAACTGTAAGTTTATCTTCGAGTTTCTTGCTGTTTGTATGTGCCAGACACAGTATGTAAATTCAGGGTAAGCTGCTGGGTAGTTGGGGCTGATAAGTGTCCCATTGGGACCAGTTAATTGTCCCCCACAGTTTTCAGTTTCTGAAAAGAGGAGTAGAGACATTAGTAACGTAACAGTGTATGTATAATGAGCCATAAAAAATAAATTGAAGAGCTGAAGTTACATAACTAGGAGGATTGTTTCTTTAGGATTCCATTCCTATGGAAATGATTAAAAGTATTGGAGACAGAACTTCAATAGAGGATTTCGGATCAGGTGGATGTTACAAAATGAAGCCTGTTGTCCCTATGATATATCCGCGGGGCACAGTGTAATGGCATCTGAGATGGCTGTAGATGAGTTAGCTTTGATACCGTGAGCAATTTAGTTAGATTGACGTTTTGGGTAAATTAAGTGCTATCTTGAAAAACTGGTAATGAAGATGGTACACCAACCAAAAGAAACCCTGGGAGACTTTATATTAGAGAAATCTGTGAGACCTTCGTCATGATCTGTATGGAAGTGCAAAATCTTCATGTTTGAGAGAGAGTTTACTTGACAAAGGCAAAATAAAATCAAGTCGGTTTGTAACCTCAGAAGGACAAATGTAGACTAGAAATAGGGCACAATTTATTAGCAGCGAAGTTAAACACTTGAGCAGCATAGACTAGGATGTGGTAATTACGCTCTAAAACTGAAGCTTTTAAGAGCTTAATGCCACCATGCCACTCAGATCAGCAGAAGCAAAGGAGCTGGTTGCAAGCTAAGACTGTTTTTGTCCAGGCTGTTCTTACCTTTTAAGGAAAAAAAGTAAGGAGCTTGTTGAACGAAAACCCTTACTGACTTCTGTGACCTGCACTCGGCAGGAGTTCTGACCGGAGGGTCATACTCTCTGGGTAAACGCTATAATATTTACAAACCGAGTAAATTTAGTAGAAGCCTGTAAGTAAAAGTAGAGTCCCATGGTGCTTCTTTGCAATTATTTTTCTGAGTAAAATGTAACTTTTTGGGCTCTCTGCAAGTGCACTGTTGTTTTGCTGCCTCTTTCCTTACACTGATTCCCCCCCCCCCAACAATTCTCTAAGGCCTGGAGACCTGAATGAGTCTGTTAATAGTCTTTAAGTGCAGTTCTAAACTTTCCCTTAATGGGAAAATTTCTTTTAATGGTGCAATTCAAATGGTATTTAATGACTTACTTGTTTCTGGTGAAAAAAAGTAATAGGAGACAAAGAAGTTCCGTGTGAAAGCCACAGAGTTTGTTGTGATGAGAAAAGTTAAACTGTCTGAAGATGACTGAAGTACTGGGACCGCATCAGTGTCGTTACATACTTGTCCAAGAAGAGGCGAATTAGTTGAGGGACCATCATATACTTTAATACTTTCTGTTTCACAGCTTGAAGAAGGAGCAAATCTAATAATAATAAAAAATCAAACCCACAATGAGAACTACCTAAGCTCATTGACAGATATACAGGCTCTTTGGAGTCTACAACACAGATTCAACAAGGATTTTACTAAAGCAAACACAGTGAAATATTTGAAGGCAGTATTTTTCTGTGCTTATTCTAATGGAATGAAACAGTACAAAAGCAACTGGAGGAAATACTTACTTAAAGTAGGAGAAAATGAGCCTAATTGTTTGATTCACATTCCTCTGAATTTGCCAGACGCAGCTTGCGTTTGCATTTAGTTCAATCCTTAGTGCTTTGTTGAGCTCGTGAAGTGAAGCCCCACAGCGAGGTACACCTATTGAAGAACAGCAACAACAAAAAAACAGCTTGCAAGAATCTCTCTTGAGTTTTCTCTTGCAATAATATTTCATCCTCCAGTACGCAAAAACTCTGTGACAGTCCATCATGGAACAGACATACAAAATGTTGTACTTTTTTTTTTTTTTTTTTCCATTTATATTACTGCAGTTTATGAAACCCAAAGAATCAAATAGCAGGAAAGGAGGTGCTAGATATCTGTAAATTCATGGAGAGGGTTAATGTGAGATATTTTCTTCCAGTACAGTAACTCGGGCCTGGAATGAAAGCAGCAAGTTGTGGTTTTGAAACAAACCAGAGGAAACTGCTCTTTGCACGTGGCTCTTTGCTGCACGTGATGTGGATGGCAAAAGTAAAACATAAAACGGGTTAAATCCGTGAAGGAAAAAGCCTTTAGTAGCTATTAAACATGAGGATAGCATTTCCTCCATTGCAGAAGTCCTGAATCACATTTGATGACTGGGAGAGTACTCTGGGGAAGTGTTGCGCAGGCTTGTATCTGTATTCTTGCCTGAGCATCCTCTCTGGGTTCAGGATGTGGGGCTAGCTGGACTTCAACCCAGTTCTCTTGTGAAAGAAACCACAATCCAGCCATGGTTGACATCACTAAATAAGTTAGGAATTAGTTGCAGTAATGGCCATTGTATAGGAAACTTTAGAGAAAATTTATAATCCAGTTTGTGCATAAGATCTCCTTTCTACTTCAATATTAATCTAAAAATAGTGGTCTAAAATAGCAGGAAGAATTTCATGTACAGGGTATACAGTCCCAGATAAAAAGGCCAGGCTTTCTGATGAACTCCAGAAGGAAAAGAAAGGTTTTGGAGAGACCTTCCTGATCACATATGAAACCTTCCAATTGCAAGAACATTACAAGGTCAGCTTTGCCTTACCCTCCCTCTGCATCCCTCTGGACCGTTCTGTAGCCAGGCACCCCTAGAGCAGCTCTGCAGCAATACTTCATTACCCCCCAGTAGCTACCCACCCTTAATCGGGTAAATTGCTGGTCTGAGCAGGGTGGTGATCCCAAATCAAGCAACAAATGACTATCTGTAGGTTCTGATTGAACAAAGGAAAAATGAGCAAGTAAAAGCAACCGTTTCCCAATGAAATCACTTTATTCCTGTTACTCCAATATGGTATTACTTTCTAAATGCAATTTTCAATTCCGCAGTAAAATCTCTTCAAAATTGAGTTCTTAAGTTAAAAATTCGCCATAGGGAATCATATAGAGCAAATTTTATTTTTGCTATTTAACATTTTTAACACTTGCTGGCACGTTCGGGTGTTACTGTTGTGCAGCAGCACGTTAAAATACGATGCACTTTTAGAGATGTGTTTAACATTTCTTCCTTCGGTTGCCTGTAAAATACCTATTGTGGAAAAACTAATAAAGTTTCACAGGTGAAGAAAAGACTAGATATCCATACCTGTGGATTCTCTTGAGTTGTCTTCAGCGAGAGCTAGAGCCGCTAAGAGAGGCAGGAGGAGGAGCTGCCTGAGCACCTGCATTTTGGTGGCAGCCAGGGAGGGTAGGCTTCTCCAACTTTTATATCTGCTGCTATTTCGTAATCGTCCCGTATTACATGGATCATGGAGGGAGGGCTTAATCTCTCAGTTACTGTTTCTTTTTAGCAGATATAAATGAGAAAGTAACAGGTGTGCCTGGTGGGGTTTTTTTTAATATTTACTGCCTGGAGTAAGTTTTACTGCTTTTTTTTTTTTTTTTTTCAGCTTTTGGGAGGACAAAAAAGCACAAAAGCACATTTTTCAGTTGATTTTGTTGAGCATCTTGGCATGTTGACATGAGCAGGCATGTTCTGGAAGGGATTGCCAGACTCCCTTGGGAGACACGTTCAGCCGTTTGCTCTTAGCACTGGGCAGCACGAGCTTGACTTTTTCCCACCTTCATTTTGACACCTACACCTATCCCTCTAGGTTGCACTGGGCAAATCGTTCCCTGTCCTTGCTGGGGGTGCCTCAGGTTTTACAGCGGGACTGTCATAAAAGGGTTGTTGGGAGTAATAATTTCCTATTGCTGAAGCATTCGTGGATGGACAAGGCCAGGTTCATGTTGGTCACAGATTTAAAAGAAGAAGATTGCGCTGCAACCCCTTTGCAGGTAAAACTTTTAGTGCCACAGTCGCAGCTACAAAAACCCAGAAGGCATCAGCCTTTCCTTCTCGAGGTAAGGAAACAAGAGCCTCAATTCCTTCTAGCGCGAGTCTCATAAATACCAGTTCCAACACATTTACACCACTTTGTTTTTCCGTAAGGACCAAATCCTGAGTATTTCCTGCTGCAGCAGCGGATAACCAATCTCGAAAGCTTCTAGAAGTTGTGATAGTGCTGGTGCCACAGATGTGCTGTTACCCTGACCTTGGTTCGCTGCCGTGCCTGCCCGGTGTGTGAACAGCCAGGGCTTACTCAGGAGCCTGCCTGTGTGATTCTTTCCAATACAGAGAGCAGGAATCCCACAGCTGTGCAAACAGATGTTCTTTCAAGTTTACTAGAAAGGTCAGATTGCAACACAGACCTTCTTGAAACACATCCAGGTACTTCTTTTTCATAAAACCAATTTTTTTTTTTTTTTTTTGTGCAAACCCTTTTTTTTTCTTATATAAACAAACTGAAATGTGATGCCTCTGTAATGATCCTGGTTTTAGTCTCAGACCTGTGCCTTTTTAAAACCAATTCTCTGATGTTTAACTCACTTTAAACATTTTTAATCTCAGACCTATGCCTTTTTAAAACCAATTCTCTGATTTTTAAACTCACTTTAAACATTTTGAATGCAACTCTATCACAAGAACGTACTTATACTGCCGTTAAACATGGAGGCATTGAATACGTGTATAAAGATGTTGCATAGCATTTGAATTCCCTTTAGCTTCTGGAAATGCTAAATTTGCATTTACTCTGTATAGCCTTTCATTTCTTAAACCCACACACATACTTGCAAGGAATTTGCAAATACTAACATCCCTTCTGTATGCATTTAATATGTGAAGTGGTGTGTGGAGCCCTGCCAATTAATGCTGTGTCCATCCGAACCAAGAAAAAAACGCCTATGGCTATGATACCCCAGTAGTTACTCTGATAGTTACAGGTTGGTAGTTTGGAGTTACTTGTATGTGAATGGTTAGGGAATTTTCTTGCTCTAAGTTGATACTGAGGGACGGGTCCCCTAAGCAGTGGCTCAGTTATTCTGAAGGGCTGAGCCCATGCTCAGGCTTGAGGCATCTCCGTCTTCGCAGATGAGTCTAAGCAGCTGCGCTGCTGCTGCAGCTGCTGCTCGTGCAAAGCTGAGTGTTCAAACTGTTTTCAGATCTTGCGTGGTAAGCCCATGCTGAGATAGTGTGAAGTGTTCGGATGCCAGGTGATGCTGAAATATTAATGGCCTGCTTTGAGTTTCCTCTCCTACCTCAGAGGAAAATGTCCAGCCAGTCTTCATGAAAGTCCTTTAAAATGAGAAGAGAATGAGCAGATCCTCAGAACAAATCAGTGTGCATTTCAGTACAAAGGAACGAGGATTCAGATGTTGTGACGCTGGTATTTACAGGCACTTTCTCTCACTGCCTGCAGCCGGGAGTGCGACAGCAGGGAAAATGTGATTTCAAGCACTTTAAATCCTTACCTGTGAGGAGCAGAGCGGCAGGGTTACGAGTGTGATGGAGCTTTGGATGAACCAAGTATGATTAGGAAACACCCTGGCTCAGGGCGAGTGTTAGGGTCCTGCAGGATGAGGACTTTGGCAGTGAGCCTGCTCAGCCAATGCCAAGGCTTAACCACCACCAGGTAGGATGTTACATCTGGAGCCTTTGTGGGACGTCTGCCTGATTTTGGCATTTGAGAGCTGGCTGAGTTACTAATGTAGAAGCTGAGTTTCAGAATGACTAGTCCGTTCTGTTGAAGGGATGAAGCATAATAGGAAAAGTTGCTGAAAAAAGTGGTTTTCACGCGTCAGAGCCTCTAGACACTAGGCATCCTTATTCAGTACCGGGCATCTCATTATGGATTTGAGTAATCTGCCCGTACTCGCCATATGGAAACTGAATATTGGCCTTAGAGATGCTTTTCACAGTCAGGCCAAGTTCTCCAGATTATCAAAATTTAATCCACCTCTTTGCCTGAGATGACTGGTGTACTCCTGTACAATTCTGCAATTGTATTTTTCTCTATTATTAACTGAAAATTATTAATTTCTATTCTATATTTCTATTTATATAGAAATTAATAGAAATGTATATTTCTGTTATAAATTTCTATTAGTAGGATGATTTAACATTAAAATGCAGAAACACTTTCTTGGCTCAAAGTGATATAAATTGAACAAATTCTGAAAGAAAAAGGATGAAGCAAATGCTTATAATAAAGTAAATTTAGATGTGCAATTGTTTTATAGTTCTAATCTCCAGTGATAAAACCTGACATACGGAAAGATTATAATAGTTTATAGGTATTGCAGAGATTATATCTCAGTACAGGTACAATATTTTTTCCAAATATTTTTGAGTTCCTATTTAAGGTAATTGCTCAGACATTACCAGTTACAAGGGATACTTATCCTTTGATTTATGTCTCTTTGTGAGCTCAGAAAGCAGCACTGTGATGTGTGCATCTGTAAGGCAGGTTAATCTTCCTGAAATGCTCAGTATTTGAGCTATTTATTAAAAAAAATGGGGAGAACTGGAAGAACTGTGAGAGGGAAACAAAGCCTTGGTAAGAAAAATCAGCCAGCTGATCCAAATACTCTTTGTCACTGGGAGTATTTACTGAAGTTTAGGGTTTTACAACTCTGGAATATAGATCCAAAAGATCTGAAATGAAGGAACACAAGTATGGTTAAGATTAAAGTACCTTTAGATTTATATCCTCTAGTTATAATGTATTTTATAGAAATTAGGAGCAGATGTGCAACACGCTGATCATATAAGTGATCAACGTAATGTTATGGTTAGAAGAAGCATTATTGGAGCTGTTGTTGTTTGGGGAAGGTAATAATAATGATGATGTCGTCACTTGTGCTTCTTTTGCCTCTCATCATATAGCCCTGGTAGCGTTGGGAATAGTAATTGTAGCTGTTGCACGCTAATATTTTGCACTCTAGGCAAACTCTTGGGTATATGGCACCTCTGAACTTGAACGGGACGATCCTCGTGCCTGGCGAATAGTAGTGCCAGCAGGTGGGGTCCCTTACGCACCTGAGAAAAGAAAAAAGGAAAAAACCCACATGTAATTGTCACACAAAAATGGTGACACGGTCACTAAGCTCGTTTGTTTCATTGGTTACAAGAAACTTTCCTTCAGAAATTTCTGTCCTATTAATCACACTTCGCAGCACAGAACTCCTGAACACAGATGCAACTATACGGAATTTAAAGATGTATGTTGGTATAACGTGTAACACAACATATATGAATACCACACACGTATGTAAATGTATAAATGTAAAGCACCTGATGGAATTTTATGTATGTGAGAAAGAGTTACTGTGTAGGTCTGTTACGTCTTCGAGGTTATTTTTTGCTTTAACCTTAGAATTTCTGAAGAGCTATGAAGAAACAGTTTCATATCCCAAATCAACCAGAACCCCTTTAATCAGATGCTTCATCCTTTTGTAAATTTTTTATATAATTTGTGAAATACCTTCTGAGAATTTATACCAATTCTTCTTCCCTAGCAGAGTATTATGGTGAATTAAGCATAAAAAGCCAAGAGGTGAAACTGCGTGTTTTTGCCCTAATAGCTAGCTCATTTAAAATCCCGCTGGTCCTTGCAAGCGGGTAACTGAAACATGCTTCAGGACTGTGTATCTTTGGTGTATGTATTTGTTGTTGTCCATATGAAGTCAGTCTCAGGCGAGGAATTGTTCTGAAATGGTTGTTGAGATGCTGCCCTTATTCTCTTCTGACTAAATCGGGTGCCACAGTCGTAGAGTCAGGATTTGGAGAGACCGCACACGTGTCTGTGAAGAGCATCAAGTTTGGCTCTGTGCCGTAGAGGGTAGCACGAACAAACACATCCTGGTCTGGCTGAATGATGAAGCCCTCACTGAATTTGAAAACGATGGTGAATCATAAAAGGCAAGCTTGACAATAAATCATCTAGATGGAGTTTCCTGCTGTGGAGACTCTGGGTATCGTTTGGGCACCAGTGTTCTGTGTGTTTTGCAGTCAAGGTTTGACAAGAAAATGTGTATTTCTGCTGTAGAAGGGGCCAGAAGTGGATCCTTCCACCGTGTTGGAATAGGTCATGGCATGATGGTCTCCGAGTTTAGAGCTGCAAAGCATGGCTGAAACCTTTTCCTGAATGTCTCTAGCAAGCCAGACGAGCTAAGGGATAACAGCTCAGCTGTCCGTGCTGGGAGGATCCCAGGCTACCCGAGGTGGCCCGACTGCAGGTCCCAGCTGAGGACATTGCTGAGTTGTGAGAAAGTCTGCAGAGCCATGCGAGAGAAAAGAGGCGAAACTACTGGCGAATCAATTACTGTTGGTTTGGGTTCAGTAGCC